AAATTTTTTAATTTATTATTTATTTATTTTGTTTTTCAATTCTCAATCGCACCTAAACCTCTAATAATTGACTAATATTCCCTAATTAACTAATTAATTCTCTTGACTCATCATCTTCTAGAAGTAAAACTTATCCCACTCCACTCCTAACTCACCTCCCGACCTTTCCTATTCTTGCTTACCCTAATACTCTCGAAGACTCTAACTCTTCAAACTTCAAATTCTTCTCATATTCTTCAACCTCCATAGTCCATATAGCTTTTGACTTTCAAGCTTCGACTCCACCTTTTCTCTTTAGTCTTTAACATTATCTCATACTTAAATCTTAATCTTATCGAGTCACCGTTGCATCCACTCAGCCCTTTCTTTTTTTCTCCTATGAGTCCGGCAAGTGCTCTTTTTGTCACCAACTTTTCTTTCTAAATATTTCAAGGTAACTTATTTACTTATTTATGCTTTTTAGTTTTCTTTCCATTCCAAGTAAAAATTTTACTTGATTTTCTTCTTTGCTTACTTAGATGCATTCAATTGATTATTCTTTGAAAGCAATGACCAAAACAAATAGGTTCCAATGTGGTTTGTGTTTTTTGGTTGTCATGCTACTAATGCTTTTTTTTTTTTTTTGCTATTGAAATTTATAAGTGTAATGTTCTTAAATTTGATTAGTGCTGTTCTTTGAAAGGAAATAAAAAAAGTGATTCTGAAGAACTATAAATATGTATATATTAAATTAATGAAAAAAATTATTTTTATAAGATGCTGAATTTTTTTTTTAAATATTTTGAATAATTTTCTCTAAATGATAATAGGTACAAATTATAGAGAAAAAAAATTTAATTGAGTCAACCCGCGGGTTGACCCGTGACCTGTGATGGGTGGGTTAGGGTCTATCTTCATTGACCCGTAACCCGTTTTAATCCAACCCGTTTTGACCCGTTACCCGTTTTGACCCGACTCTAACCCGACCCAACCCGCATGTTTGCCAGGTCTATCTACATGTAAAAAATAAATCAGTGCTCTCCTCCACTTGCTCACTACCAAAACCACATAACAACTCCCCCCCTTGCAACATCACCCCCCTTTTGTGTGTTGAAGGATGAATTTATATGGCTATAAAGTCGATGACATGTGCGGCTTCACATTAGTAAAGGCCTATATGACTTATTTTCCACATCAGACATGTTATTCTTATTTTCTGTTGATTACTGCAATAAAGTCAACATTGCCAGAAATGGCATTTATCTACTTCGCTAGAAACATTGCAGAATACAGCCTATGCTAGCATCTTTTTATATACATGGCCAGACATGGCTGGATGTTTCTGACGGTCATGTCCTCTGCAATGATGTTCACTGCTTCATCCTTTTTTTTTTTTTTAAAGCAAAAGTATTATTTATTGAAACGGAGTACAAGGGGTATTCTAAACCCGTAAACATCTCAGTTTGAAAGGCAAATAGATAGTCAAAAAGCCCTTCCGTTCGGTGATATAGGTGTCGACACCATGTCTGTGTTGGAGATTTGGCTCAGCTCTTCCGTTTGGTGTCGACACTCTAATAAAGTGTCGACACCAGGTCCGTGTCAGGATTCAGAAATGCTCAGCCCTTCCAAAACCTCCCTTGTTGATATATTTGGCTTTGGAGTTCCTATGCTGTAATAACTCTTCAATTTTATGCCACTGTCATCTTTTTTTCTTTCTGCAATTCACCCTCATACATTCAATCGGGTTTAATATCCAATCGGAGAAGGAAAAAAAACAACCTCCCCGTCTGCCTTTTAACCAGTGGAAGGCACGTAGTTGGATTAACTCAAATAACCTTCCTTCCTTCTATGCTTTCCCTGTGAATATTTTCTCGTTCCTAGCCAACCAAATTGTCCACACCATAGCGAACCAAATGCATTCCCAGCCTTCTTTCACCGCCTCTATTTTGAGTAAGAAGCTATGTTGCTCAAACACTCCCCAGCAATCTCTATCAAGTACAGCACAGAGACCCCACCACTAGTTACATGCAGACCATAAGTTGTATGCTAGTTTGCAGTGGATAAAAAGGTGGGCGGAATCCTCCTCTTCCACTTTACAGAAAACACATTTACTTTCTGCAGGGTCCTGAATGACGCCCCTTCTTAGCAAGTTTCCTCTTGTTGGTATCTTATCTTGGATTAATTTCCATGAGAATGCTGCAATCTTGCTTGGCACAATTGGGTTCCAAGTCCTTTTGAGAACTGAGTGTCGTTGCTCTCCGTCTGGCTCCATCGTGAGTATTTTGTAAGCTGATCTTGTAGAATATTTCCCATCTTTGCTATGGGTCCATAATCGCAGATCACTTTTTCCTTTTTCCATCGGGGCATCTTGGATATCTTTGTAGAGTTCAACGACTTGTTGCTCTTCCCAGCTGTATAATTCCCTTCTCCATTTTATGTCCCACTTCCATTTGTCACTGCACCAATCTCCCATTTGCGAAATCTTATTGTCTTTCCCTGTAGATAACATATAAAGTCTGGGATATTTATTAGCAAAGCAAGGATCCCCACACCAATTATCCCACCAAAAACTTACTCCTTCTCCCCCTCCTACTCTTAATTTGAACCCTTTAACCAACCATCCCTCCCTTTCTCTATCTGCACTATTTAATCTACAAATGTCCTTCCACCATGTAGAACC